AAATGCTTCTAAATGAGTTTTGGGAAGTCCCTGTGATTTAAGCTGTGAAAATATGCCACAAGCTTTCGGGAAAGAACGAAACATATCCTTTCTTCCAATATATGTTGCTGTGCACCATGAAGAAGTACATTTGGAAATAATCTTTGCAGTAATAAGCATTTTACAAACCTGCAGTGGTTTGTATTTTTGCTCGCTCCTATTGTTAAAAAGGGTTGAATGAAGCGCTTAGCCGCTTTCACTGTTTACACAGTCGAAGTGAGGGCAGAGTCTGGTCTTCATTAGTATCTGTCTGTCAAACCTGTTTCCTTTGTACACTCTTTGCATAATTACAGCGCGATGATTGACAGCAGAAGCATGTTTCTAGCAAGCTTTCCTACTCTGTGGCCTCTGTTTCCTCCCTGGTAAGCCCGAGGCACGTTTGCTGAGGGTTTTTTTTTCCCCAAGTTATATCTTCAGTGTATCAAAAAAAACCCCACCAAACTTGGGTACTAAAACCAGAATTTAGATAGACTTCAGGCACTTGAAGACCAAAATTGTCATCCCAGAACTTTCCAGTTTAACCTAAACTGAGCAACCACTGTCCCGTTGACGTGCAGAGGTGCTGAGCAGTTCCCCTCCACCCGTTCAGAACTGCTCACCTCTGGGCAGTTAGGCACCTACCTGGCTACTGCCTCAACTCCTTTGAAACTAGGTGATGCGATACCCAGAAGCCACTGGAGTAATAGGCTTTTATGGTACAAACTAAAGGGCTGGGCCACCCTGGAATTGTGTTTGCATATGTTTTGCTTTTAAAACAGCTATTTTATGTAGTAGCTTGAAGGCTACTGTGTTTGCATGGGAGCATGGAGATACGTGTTTGCTTTCTTAGCCTGCAAAGATTCAGTTCACATCTCCCACTGCCTGATTGGCAATGGATTGAAGGACCTCTGGAGCTAATCCCTAAATGTTTGTGCATTTTGTATTATACATTAATTGGCTAAAAATCTCAGAAATGATCCAGGTAGGTGAATTCAAGCAGTGATCTGAGACGAGCTGGAGAGGCATAATCCTCTCTGCTGTCTTTCTTGACCATTAATCTCACAGTCCCTTTTCCTGCTTTTAATAGGACGTGCAGGAGATAATTTTTCTGCTTCTTCCTCCTGAGAGTACTCCTGTTTTCAAGGTCATCTGCTAGAGGATGTAGGCTTGAATTCCCTTAAGCTGAGTAAGGGCTGAACCCAGGCGTCCCAGTTCACATGTGTGTGTTCTCAAATCTGGATGACTATTTAGAAGAGCATCAGGACCACTTCCTACAGCTATTTTTCAGGGATGAACCTCATGCAAATCCTCCGAAAGCACACATAGGCTCCTGCACACCGAGTTCTGGGTAGATTCCAGACTCCAGCTCCTGGATGGGTAATTCAGAACACATTTAGTACAGGTTGGTGCAATTGGGCAAGTTTTCTTCAGTGGAAAGCTTTTCCAGACAGGCCCTGTATTTTGGGTTGCTGGTCTGAGGTGAGGGACTCCGTGCGCTGTACTGAGAGGCCAAGCAGGCAATTTGGATTCTTCTCAGGCGTGACTCTTTACCAAAAGAGGCATTGCAGTGACTAACATGGAAATGCCTAAAACCTTCATTGCATCTAAAACTAAATCCCTGCTTGAATAAAGAAACAAGCCTTCTTAGCAAATGCTAATAACAGATGGAAATCTACTATTTCCATCTATTAACTGGTTCCGTAAAAAAATCTTAATTGCAGCAAAGGCATTTGTACAAATTCTGTTTACGCTTGGAAACTAAGTCAAAGGAATAATTGGCAAAAGAATAACCCTATTTTAGCAAAACAGGCACTGTTAAGCAACATGGGAAGGATGCTAATCATACCCTATTAATGAATAAAAATGTGCAGTAGCTGATGTAAATTATGTCCACAAAAAAAAAAAAGTAATTCTTTGTAAATAAGTACCTGGTAAAATTTGAAGTGATGAAAGAATAAATTATTCACATGAAAGCTGTAACTCTCCTGTGCTGTTTGATTGGCTCTCAGTGTTGTATCCTGTTTATCACTATTCATGAGTGGCCTATTGCTGTTCCTGCTCTGTGGTATCCATTCCATTCACTGCTCCGTAGATGTGGTCCCCTTCATTAGCACAAAGCTTAACAGTGGTACAGGGGTGATTTGCTTTCTGTCTGGACTGACGTGTAGTACTTTCTGCTTGAATGAACCCAGAATTGTATCTTTGGGCTTTTTTTTTTTTCCCAGTGGCACTGCTCCTGGGAAACTTAAGAAAGCACAAGAATGGGAAATGGTGGTACCATTGACCACTTGGAGTAATAAGTGGTCTTGGTAAAATTGTGCACTCAGTAATCAGACACTTTTCGTTTGTTTTGTCCTACTGAACGCTGCAGTAAGAGCTGCCGGAATGAACCCATCGGTATTAGGAATCAGCAGGCTGTTCTGGAGGCTCTCTAACTTTCATAAATTACTCAATGGGAAGAAATGGGAGTGTGGAGCAGAG